TGGTCGTGGTAGACCATGGGCTTACGAAGGGGGTAATTCTCTGCCCTTGCAGAAAAACCATCACAGCGGAAGGAGTAGCTGAACTTTTCTTCAAAAAAGTGTTCATGCGCTTCGGACTCTATGACAAGATCATCTCGGACCGAGGCCCCCAATTCGCCTCGAAGCTAGCGAAAGAGCTAGGACGACTTCTCGACTACCAAGTCGCACTTTCCACTGCCTACCACCCTCAGACAGATGGCCAGACCGAACGGCTCAACCAAGAGCTCGAAACCTACCTCCGGATCTACTGCCGGACGACCCCCTCCGAATGGACAAAGCACTTGCCTATGGCCGAATTCGTTCACAACTCCCGACGACACTCTGCCAGAAACGCCTCTCCCTTCTATCTCATGATGGGCTACGAACCACGAGGCATCCCCCATCTCTTCCCCGACTCTACCCTACCGACCGCCGAAGAACGAGTCAAATCACTCGCCAAGATCCGCGAAGAAGCCCTGGCATGCCACAGCCTCGCGCAGCAACGCATGGCTGATCGTTCCTATGGCCAGCGTTACAAGCCATGGAACGTTGGTGATAAGGTATGGCTATCCGCCACGAACCTGATCACCGGATTCCCTTCTAGGAAACTCGCCCCGAAACGATATGGACCCTTCCCAATCCAGAAGGTCCTCTCCCCCATCACGTTCCAGCTCAAGCTGCCTGCCAGCTGGCGTATCCACCCCACGTTCCATGCCTCGGAACTTTCCTCCTATCAGGAGACAGACGTGCATGGACCGAATTTCACCGAACCTCCTCCTGATCTTATCGATGGAGAGGAACACTACGAAGTGGAAGCTATCCTCCAACACAAGGGTACCGGATCGCGTCGCCGGTACCTCGTGTCTTGGGTTGGCTATCCTGCCTCCGAACGAACGTGGCTCCCCGAAACAGAATTGAAGTCCGCAGCGGAGCTCCTGATGGCGTATAAGAAGCGACTCAAGATCGCTTCAATCGCCATCTCATGTTGATCAACAACCGCCACCGCAACTTCTCCTACCGCCCTCACTACACTAGGGCTGACCCCACCAGCGAACCCATCCACACCGATACCAAAAACTTCCATCGCCAACGAATCCGCAATCGCCACCGCCCCACGAAACCCAAACCCATCGACAAACAGAGACCCATTACCCAACACCCCACCTACGCCACTACCCAAGGAAAGACGCTCCACTATGTCGGCCTCAGCGTCGTCTGTTTCCTCGCACCGATCCGCTACCTCTCATGCGTCTGCCTCCGACCCCGACCCGACGAGCCAGCCAACGCATGGCCATGATAGGCCCTCCTACACCGTCTTCCGACGACCATCCCTTCGCTCAGTTGTCCAAGACAGGCAACGGGCCTACTGGGAAGCAGTCATCTGCGATCCCCAGTATGCAATCCGACTCGACAATTATCTCAACCGCACCAACGACGACATAACCATGAACCTCGTCCAGGCCTTCAGGGCCACTGACGCCCTCACCGGCGATATCGCCAGGATCGACCTGGCTAGGGAGACCTCCCTATCCACCGTCTCGACCAGATACAATCAAGGCAAGATCAAACGAGCCTTGCTAAATCTGTTTGAACTCAGGAACTTCCATGCCGCCGTCATGGCTGTCGAGGAGGAGCGGGCATTTAATCCCCCTCCCGACCCGCTTGCAGTCGTCGAGCGTGCTGTCTATGACAGAGCTCCAACCCCCTTCCTTCCCCAACTACCCCGCTCTGAATCACCAGAGCAGATCCCCAATGTCACCCAGTTGACCAACCCCGAAATCGACCGTCTCTATAACGAATACGAACGCGAGCTCTACGCTCCACGTAACCCCTCCCCCATCCTTGATACCGACACCATCTCCATCATCATCCCAGAGTTGGATGAATGCCCTCCCGCATCACCTGTTCTCAACCCCGACGATTGGGTACCCACCGAGACGGTCCCACACCTCTCTATTGGTTCTCCGGAACCCCTTCCCACTCCGCAACGCCGAAATCACCGTGCTCGTGCACGATCCATCTTGTCCCTAGGACTACCCCTCTCCCATGCGCATCGACCGCGCACCCAGAACTTCACTAGGCACTATCCTCGCGAGGAAGCCCAGGAAGACGCCATCAACGACGCGCGTCGTAATGCCACCGAGACCACCCAGGTCTACCGCAGCAACGTTGTCTGCCGCCAGTGCCGTGTCTACGGACACAAACAGAAACACTGCGCGCAATACTTCTGCCGCATTTGTGGGCAATTTGCCCCAAAACATCTCACCCCCTTCTGCCCTCGACTCGACGGCAGAAAGATCCTTCGCCGTGGAACCTCTTCCGACCGGTTCTACAGGGACATGCAGCAGCTTGAAGCTGCGTATGACCAGGACGCTGCTCGCCTTGAGCAAGAACGCGAAGAGAATGCAATCGAAGCCGCCTCCTGGCTCGAAGACCTCGACTTCGACCCCGCATGGTATAACAACCAGGACGACTACGTTCCTCTGGACGACGATTAAAGAGTTCGTGGAACTCTACCTTGAAACGGGGGTAATGTTACAAGTAACATCGGCTACATGGCCCCCCTATCATTTTTCCCCTTCGTCCTCGCACTCGTATGCCTCCGGCTCGTACTTCTCTACCGACTATCCGTTGACCGGATCCTCGGGACCGTTCCCGTCCCTCGCCTCCCCCTCCTATCGCACCAACGTGCGCACGTGCCTTCGGGCTATGACTTGTTCTGACTCGTGCCACCAATGTGGCTTTCCTTATCTTGTCTTATCTTTCCTTTGACTCGTGCACGCTGCACATTGTATCATTTACCGTTGGCTCGTTCCAACGTTTCTCGGTCTCATTCCGCATTCGACCTTACATCACTAATCAGGCTCTGCCACCATCGTACCTATACCCTTTCCGTTTCCCCTTTGCCCTTACCCACAGTACGGTAGCCTTGCCCTTAACCCTTTCCACTTAGTATAAGTAGTCGGTCACTCTGTACTAGATTCCCTAACTTGAATCTACTCAATCTTCCCTCAAACATACTTCCCTCTGAAGCCCCCTCAGCTTCAGTCTCTAGTATCTTTTCTTAGGTGCTCATCGCGCCTAAGTCCATCTCGATCGACTACTCATTGTTCGGACAAGACTGTCCTTACTTTGAGATCGTCAGTGACTTTGAAGACATCCGTCTTAGAAGTCACGTGACACGCGCGTCTCTGATATCTGCCGACTCGACGTCGCCAGTCTCAGTCGCTACACCGGACCCTTCCGGTTACGTCACGAACGTTAGCGGACGACGCCCCTCTTAGGGCTCCGTATAACAGATCTATTTGAGTGCGTAACACCAGCCTTGAATATTATTGTTGTAGTGAAGCACATATCCAACATATGATATGACTATGCCAGAAAATCATCGCCTTGATGCATGTTTTGCAAGCAGACAGCAGTGCGATACCAGCCTTGGATATTATTGTCATAGTGAAGCACATAGATATGACTATGCCAGAAAAGCATCGCCTTGATGCGTGTTTTGCAAGCAGACAGCAGTGCGATACCAGCCTTGGATATTATTGTTGTAGTGAAGCACATATCCAACATATGATATGACTATGCCAGAAAATCATCGCCTTGATGCATGTTTTGCAAGCAGACAGCAGTGCGATACCAGCCTTGGATATTATTGTCGTAGTGAAGCACATAGATATGACTATGCCAGAAAATCATCGCCTTGATGCGTGTTTTGCAAGCAGACAGCAGTGCGATACCAGCCTTGAATATTATTGTCATAGTGAAGCACATATCCAACATATGATATGACTATGCCAGAAAAGCATCGCCTTGATGCGTGTTTTGCAAGCAGACAGCAGTGCGATACCAGCCTTGAATATTATTGTTGTAGTGAAGCACATATCCAACATATGATATGACTATGCCAGAAAATCATCGCCTTGATGCATGTTTTGCAAGCAGACAGCAGTGCAATACCAGCCTTGGATATTATTGTCATAGTGAAGCACATATCCAACATATGATATGACTATGCCAGAAGATCATCGCCTTGATGCGTGTTTTGCAAGCAGACAGCAGTGCGATGCCAGCCTTGGATATTATTGTTGTAGTGATGCACATATCCAACATATGACAAGAACATGCCAGAAGATCATCGCTTGATGCGTGTTTTGCAAGCAGACAGCAGTGTGATACCAGCCTTGAATATTATTGACATAATGTCACACATAGATATGACCAGGTAGAGCTGACCAATAAAACTCATTATGACATATCTAATCTCTAGATTAGAATCCCATGATATTATATTTGTGCAACATGTGTATGAAAGAATATCATTTTGATGTGCATCTTGTATGTAACATATGCATGAATATATATCTATACTAATGCCATCTCATTTTGATATAGTGCGAGGTAGATTTGATTTTGATTTACTCTTGAAGGCGGACTGACAGTTGAACTCTATGCATTGTAACTGATCTGCGCCTGCAGCAAACCTTCTTACATATCTAACATTTCTCACGCTGATCATGGTTCCATAACAGATACTATCCATTACGGTTCTATTCGTGACGGGCCTCTATTTCGTGAGTCACACTCATGTCACGAATAGTAACGGACAGTCACATTTACGATCCTAGAGCTAATTATTGATAGTTTTGTAGCATCCTATTGAAAGTTATGAGCATCCTAGCTGCACTGGACATGTTTTTTGAGGCTTAATATCACACAATGTTCAGATCAATTAGGTTTCACTTGGAACTGGGTATCAGGACGAGTACAGTGAAGTGTAAGATGTAAGGAATGAGCGCGGTGTTACTATAAAACAATATGATGACTAGAATCGGCCTCAGCAGTCTGACTCGGCGCTGCTCGATGGTCGAACACAACTTAGGGATCTGCACGCTGGGCAGCGTTGGATCAGCGTGGCCGTCGCTCGAACGAGGATCGACACACTCACAAACTACGAACGGTGGGCAAAGACTTGGATCAGCATGGCCGTCGCTCGAACGAAGATCGACATACTCACAAACTGCGAACGGTGGGCAAAGACTTGGATCAGCATGGCCGTCGCTCAAACGAAGATCGGCACACTCACGAACTACGAACGGTGGGCAAAGACTTGGATCAGCATGGCCGTCGCTCGAACGAAGATCGGCACACTCACGAACTACGAACGGTGGGCAAAGACTTGGATCAGCATGGCCGTCGCTCGAACGAAGATCGACACACTCACAAACTGCGAACGGTGGGCAAAGACTTGGATCAGCATGGCCGTCGCTCGAACGAAGATCGACACACTCACAAACTGCGAACGGTGGGCAAAGACTTGGATCAGCATGGCCGTCGCTCGAACGAAGATCGGCACACTCACGAACTATGAACGGTGGGCAAAGACTTGGATCAGCATGGCCGTCGCTCGAACGAAGATCAGCACACTCACGAACTACGAACGGTGGGCAAAGACTTGGATCAGCATGGCCGTCGCTCGAACGATGATCGACATACTCACGAACTGCGAACGGTGGCCGACGACTTGGATCAGTATGGCCGTTGCTCGAACAAGGATCGACATACTCACGAACTGCGAACGGTGGGCAACGTAGAAGAAGGAAGGATGTGGTAGAAGAGGGAAGGATGACGTGTTCAATGTTGAACGTTCGAATGTTGAAACTAAAAGTCACGTGAGTCAAACAAAAACAAATACACGCAAATGTTGAACTTGTAATTTGTTGCTCGCTATATCGTGCCTATGACGCGGCACTGTCAAGTCTTGGGCCAGTTGGTATTATTTAATTTGTAGTCACTAGTACATGTTTTTCGTTTAGTTTGAATGCATACGCGTGCAACTCGTCAAAAGCTGTTCGAAGATAGGTAGAGCTCTTGATACAATTACCCGCGCTAATCCCTGGCATACTTTTGTGACTTTGCGCTATTTATGTACAAGTTTTGAAAAATTAGAGAGCTTAGGTCAAATTTTACTAGCGTAGCGAGCTTAAGTCAAATTATTTCTTGACATGCTCTAACTGAATGATACGCTCGTCGATGGTGCCCCTCGTGATTAAGCGCTGATAGACAGTCACTTGGCGCGTCTGACCGAGGCAATGAGCGCGACTCTGATAGTACGTGGCCTGCGCATTGTTTGATGGGTTCCGATCGTGATCGACAGTGTCTCCTGCGGTCTGGTTGATTCCGAGTCTGACACCACCCGCGCACGTACTTGAAACAAATATGAAGATGGCCGAGCTATAGAACATTGATCAAAGTCGAGAATATACAATCTAAGTTAAACACTGACCGTGTCTGCCAATCCATCGGTTCCTTGATACAGAGTTGAGCGACGCAGCACGCCACGCCACCAAAAGCAAGCGCAAACTTAAACCATATCCATCGTCGAAATCGAAGGTCAGCTTCATCCATTCGGCTCTTCATCGTTTTGGGAGGGTTGCGCAGGGGTCGTATTGGCATGAGAATGCTTCGCGTGAGTTGGTCCGGGAAAGGCGGATTAAGCAACAGGAGAACATGCGAAGCTATGTAAACATTAAGAGTCATGGGCCTGATAACGGGCTCAGATAACGCAAAAGGCAAAGTGTTCATGCTGGTCTTGCTTACCGGTCACCAAAGAAAAACTTCTGCACATTCAGTAACTTCGCATTAAGAGTGGCAAGAGATGCTCTCGCTTGCGCAAATAGTACCTGTAAGACAGTAGTAAACACCAGGTCCGTTTAAGTAGACGAAGATAATTTTATGTTGTCCTGTTCAAAAGCAAGCGCATACTCGGTTTTAGCCTGGTCGTCTTTCCTTGGTCCTTTCCCGAAGGAGCGCGATCGATGTATCTCGCGTATAGTACGTGCAGGGACATAGTGGTGCTGCGAAATTGGAAGCATGGTGGGATTTTTGAGTTTCCCGAAGTTGTTGTCGTCCAAAGAATAGAACGAATATGTCTATTGGATCGTCAACCGTTGAACTGCCTGCAGAGTATGTCATATACTATGTACTTACCTGGGAGTCCCCAATATTCGCCTCAACCTGCGAGTACCAAGCCGTTCGCTTCGTTCTGTGTAGTACGCTTAAAGACGCGTCGAAATCCCATGCGCCTGATGAGGTAGACTTTGCTAGCAAAGAAACGAAGAAACTGATGGCCGGGACGGATGACACTGTTGCATGGTCCTGTGTGAGGAAGGGAAGCTTTTCTATAGCATAATGTAGTAAACGCACCGCTATGAGACACATCCAAGTCGTGGTTAGTACATCTTCGTTGTTGCTGTTGGAATAGTATTGCCTTCGTAGAATAAGGAGTGCGGCGGGTTACAGGAGGGGAACCGAGAGGGGACGTCTTGTGATATTGAAATATATCTGAAGGTGATGGCCGTGTCTTGGGGCACGCAGCATTTCGAGAACTCCGGTAAGTAGTCGCAAAGATATTTTTCATAAGTAAGGAAGCGGCAGGTGAGATCGCTCGAGGAAAGAATTTGAATGAGCCTGAGGGGGGTAATAGAGCGATGGAGAGAAGATGTTGCATCAGTATGTTTTTATCGAACGAGGCGGGAGAAACCAGATTCCAGGATCCGCTGGATATAGTTGCGTGGCGCTAAGAAGTTCCTAAATTGGTCGATATCGTATTAGTTTTACATTGAAGCTGGTCCCGCTAGAATAAACGCTAACCGTCAACGAGAATCATTACTTTCAAACTATCTTCCATGGTACTGTACGCCTAGGTATCCCATGCTCGACATCTATTGATGCCCAACATAGATTTTCCTTTGCGTTTTTATAATTGTTAGCCTTTCAAAACACTGCAGGACGACCAAGCTACTCAGATTACCGCGGACTCGTACTGTCTCTGAATAGGATCCATGCTTCTCAGTCATTCCCTTCATCCACCTATCATTCCCGTGCCCATCGACGACTCCAACAACGCACTAGCAAGCTCTTTCACGTCATGACACCATCCCACACACTCTTCTCTGTGACCACGGCGAACCGAAGCTTATCGAGTGTATTATTGGCGTTTGAAATGAGCTCCTGCAAGAACACGTCCCTGAGGAAGTGGGTTCAGCAAAGAGTGTTGATGAACGTGAACTTCGCAAGGGTACTAACGAGCGCATTGCGTTCGAGGTCCGAATCGAAGGAGTAAACTATGCGGATGGCATTCTTGAATCCGTACAAGCAGAGATCAGCTATCTCAAGGCCATCCGTAGTTTGAAGTGGGCTAAACAATCCAGCCAAGAAGAGTATCCGTGCCACCTCAAACATCAGCCTAACATGGATGAAGCGTGACGCGCTGAAGTGTTGGTCTCCAGTACGAGATCATCTTCGTTGAGGACGCATGAGCGTTTTGAATAGTGACTACAAGATATCAATCAGCGTTCAATTGTAAGACTAGCAACTTACTTTAGTATTGTTGGCCATGTCATTGGACTGCATCACACATGCCTGGTCCCTCCCCGCATTCGTCAACACATTAGTAAGACCAGGACCTGTCGAGGGCAAGTTGATTGTGACATCTACACTTCGTCTTTCATCCTAATCCGTTGCCCTAGATGTGACGAGAATCTATCCGGAAGACTCTCCATCGTTGATAGCACGGTAATCCTTGATGAAGTCAGCCTTAGTCGTGCGATTTTTAATCTGAGACTATGAGCATCGGTATTGAGCATAATGATAGAATACCCGAGAATAAAGGCAGCATCTATTCAAAGGCAGGTAAGTAATCCGAACAAATTAGGCAGATGTCCACAAACCTGCAAGCGTTTCCGGCGATGTATCATTCCGCGCACTTGAGCATGAAGCGATCGATCATCTGAGCTTCTCCAGGAAGGCGGAATGCCTGCAAAAACATACAGCGTCCAGCTGAAATCTAGAAAGTCGACAAAAGCATGCATGATAGCAACATTGTGTTCATCTTTGCAGTACAGTGAGAATCGTTAGGCAGTGTCCATTTGCGACCACCTTCACTTCGGGTATGTCTCCACTTGCAACGTGCCCACTCTCCAGTGCTTTCTTCAAACCCTTGTCAAACATTCCATCACTCTTCTTCGCAGCACCGAATCCTTCCAGATCGTGCAGACCGATGTCTAACACTTGGCCAGTACGTGGGTCCCTGTCCGCTGTACCGTACGACTCTTGCCTGGAAAAAGATAAACTTAAATGTGACAGAAACGGCGTGAGAATGAACCAACAGAGGAATGTGGAAGAACATCATAGCATTAGGCTTGGCTAATTTGTGCATCGTGGGCGTGATCTGATCGGCCTGTCTGTTCCATATGGAACCAAAGTCCTTGCCAGTGTCTGGTGTGAACGGACGCTGTATAGCCTGGATCTTGGAAGATTCTTGCAAAAACCAGTTGATTTGGTCCTTGGAAATATGAGCGCAATTGACATAACGATCACAATTATATCAAGGGACACCGACCTCATGTATCCAGTCGTACTCCGTTGGGAAGAAGTACCCGAGCCAGTCCAAGTAACCGCTCGAGTAGGATCCAGAGTCCAGGAAGTACAGCATCAGCAGCGATGTCTTGGAGCTACCAAACGAGCTCAGCTTGCACTCTGCTATCCTCAAATGGAAACACTCACGCATCAGCACTCTTCACGTCTAGAACATAATTTCCAACACCATGAATGTCTTTTGGACCCCTCTGCACCAAAGAATACGGAAGGGCATTCATCATACGTACTTGCTCCTGCTTCACATCGCCGTTCTCTTCGTCATGATTGCCGAAGATAGCTGCGACTGCAAACTTTGCTAAAACGGATTTAGGATCCCAAGACGTGCCCTGCCCGTTGAGTTGGTCGCCGGAGAAGACGACAAGATCTGGCTTTTCTTCGTCCATAACATGTCCGAGGAGCGTATTGGTGAGATTATCGGAGTTGACGCAGGGATCAATATCGGTTTCCCGACAGATGCCCCTGGAAACAGAAAAATGCAGGTCTGCAACTTGCAAAATCTTGAATTTTCCGTCCCGCGAGAAGTGTAAAGGATGGGCTTGAGGGACCGCTGCAGACCAAATTCAGTACACTATCGGCATAAAGGCTGTTCATGCTCACATTGCGCGCCGCGGCGGTATGTCACATACACGCTCTCTAGTTGCCCTTCCTTTTCCGGAGTTACGGCAGGCTCTATTTTCTCAAATCCGTACCAAGGCCTATCCTCTCCAAAGAGTATGTCGACTTCGGTAATGAGACTGGATTTCTCTTCCGCATTCATTTCATTCATCGTTTTGCCCAGGAGGTACCAGAGGTACATTGGTTCCGCACGCATAACACCATAGCGTATGGAGAGATCTACTTTTACCCAGGAATCTGATAGAGGTTCAGGAATTTCATTGGCAGGAAGGAGGCGCAAGTCGGTAATGAGAGGTATGTCAAGACGGCGCGTCCATCTGTAGTAGATGTTCTAAGGTGAATGTGGTGAGTCATGGAATACGTAACATAAAATAGTGGTGCGTGCGTACCAAATTCCAGAGACCAGCTTGCTTGTTGAGATCCCGGTCCACTCGAACCCAGTTACCCTTGATGGCATCCTGCTCGACGGTTATCGTGGGTGCACAGAGGTTTCCGACAAGGCTCGGTGACATCATACAACGCGTGATAGCAATTTCAGACACTGTAAATATGAAATTGAAATAAGTCCCTGACAAAATTGGCGAGCATACATACGACCGGTATCGTGAGATAACAAGGGAGCCCATACGTCAAGGGGATAACTCTCTATATCATCGGTAGTACCCCAGGACTGATTTTTTGTGGTTTCCCACCAATCTGTCTCATCATCGTTGACTGGAATTGGTTGGCCATCCGCTGGGTCGCCAGTGACTGTTGGCTTAGAAGGTTCCTTATCGAAGTAGTCAACTGTGGCGACCGCATCCCAAGCTTGCCAGCCTAGACGCTGGACAATGCCGGGTCCGACGATGGGCTGGTATAATACAAAGAAGTATGTCAGGAGGCATGAGAAGCCAATGACAGCTGCTGTGGGAAGCAATATGCCCCTCATAGATCGGCCAACGCAAGAAAATGGAAACACAGCCATTATGGACCGTCGAGTTCTGGATAAGTGAGCGACCACGGTCAGTGGATTTAAGAGAGTTAGCGAACAGATTACCTATAGCTATAGGACAGTGATGACCAGGAGCTGTCGTACCGTGAGGGCTGCGTGTTCAACGAAGGGGGTCACATATCTAAATCGAGCAAATAATTGGGGTCAGGTCACAAATTCTTCATTTTGGGTTTCCGAAGAAGCTTTTATGGATGATGATGTATTGGAAGTACTCACCCTTCAGTAAGGTACTCGTCAATCATACTTTTGCCGAGGCCATCAGTGGTCAGTGAGAACTCTGTGATATCGCGAGGCCACGAGCTTGGAATGAGCTACGTCTCCCCCAAGAGTTGAATGCCCTAAGAGGAAATCAACTTTGCTCGTTTGCAAAGAGTGAGAGGAAGAACCTGAAATAAACCTTATAAGAGTGACGAACCTGGTACATCCGACAGAGAGTGGTTCCCCATGGGAAATATCGTGTAACAATCTAGGAAAGCATATCACAAAGTATTGAGAAGTTAACAAAGATATATACCTTACATCGAAGACACATCCACACGCATACTGGCTCGAGATACTGTTCATAGTTTCAATATAGATACAACTTTCAATATATTGCATCACCTTCAATAAGCTGGGGAAGGAAATGTGCTTTCAAGCGACTATTGATAATGTCGTTCACATATACTCTGCAGGTGATGATAAGTTAGTTATTTGAACAAAGAAATTATATGAGCGTACAGGCAGTGACTGCAAGTAGGTTCAATGATGGCGCAGAAGAACCCTCCGTAGATGGCAATATTAAGACACGTCTCCCAAGGAATGACCCTCGACCTGCACAGGATAAGTTTCTGATATTGAATTCGTCAGTGTGATCAAGGCATCAACATGATCTTCACCTTATTTGACAAACCAGTCGAGAAGTTGCAGCCCCACTGAAAGAAACCTTGGTCAGCTTGAACATTGACCATGTAGATCTAATACAGACCGTCCTATATGCTCGAAGATTGTACCAGTATGTTCGATTGCGTCGCAACCACGTGCGGTGGCACGAGTCGATTTGTTGCACAACATAAGTTATTGTTGGGGCAACGAGCGCACTTTCATTTCATAAGAAAGAAGGTTTTGACAAAAAGAGCTATGAGGGACTCACAGTTGAGAAATACGATGTGACAATGACACTAGTACCATCTTTAGAATCCCTATTTGATGGATTCCACAAGGGGTCGGAGAGTATCTAAGTTACAATCCCAACCAGAGTGACTGCATGAGAAGGATTGAAGGCAGAGAGTACGATAGACTTAGCTTCATATTGTGCGCGAGCACAAATGACATCGAGGAGCTGCTTTCTATACCGGGGAATGTATTCTGGTATTGAAATAGGGGGGGCGGGCTGCAGCTTGGTATCCGAAATAGAGCGATGCTATTCCGAGGTAGAGTATATAGACGTAGGCGTAGACAGATACAACGGGCCCAGCATTTGCGCCTCGACATGCGAGAACCCCGCTCCAGGATCATCATAAAATTATGTTTCGGAATGATACAAAAACTTGTCAGAAGCACGGACACCAAGCACATGCTAATCGGTAATTGAATAGATAAAAATGGCGGCAGAGGCAGTACAGATAGCGTAGATCAAGTCCATGTACAAATACCATTACAACAATTCACTTCAAGTGGGCGATCTGCAACTACAGGAGAGCTTCAATAGAGCGCAGAGGCATTGGAAGATCCAGATGACATCGAAAACCCATCAAACCAACCATCAAACCAATCATCAAAAGAATTGTCAGGTAGACATGATTCATATGTCCCGTCAGAGCCATGAGATGAGCACATGCCTACATTTATCTTAGTACGAAACTTCAAGGAAAGCTGCAAGCTCACCATTCTCAGTCAACCGGGGCCCCGTAGTGCGTGATATGGCTTCAGAAAACATCTCCACTTCGGCTTGTGCGCGATGTTTCTTCAACTCTAAGATGTGGAAATCAGATTTTAGGACGTCCGGGGTTTTTTCATTCTTTGCTTTAAGGCTATCGCCAATGCCAATACCTAGGAGCTTGGTGTCTGCACAGTCGGCAGAGGATGTGCTGATGTAGGCGCGATATGTGACGTTATCAACCCAAGACTTCATCAAGAAAGGAAGCGAAAGAAATCGATCATTGGGCTGCATAGTATGAGAATGCAGAGTCTGGTAATATGAATAGCGCTCACCCTTAAGACGTTTTCGTAAAGCTGGGGAATTTCTTGAATTTGCGGGAAATCCACAAATTCCGATGACGTGGAAAGCCATTGCTGGCATTTGAGATGCGCAGCAGTTGGAAGCCAAAAGCCTTCAAATTCGTCCGAGCGAGGTGTTTGGCATGCACTTATAGTGCTAGTGTACTTTGGCAGGGGTGCTGGAGCTAGGAAGAAATTGTGATTCAAGTGTCATTTCTCGAACAGTATGGCTTACATGGGCGACATTTCGTATTAAACTCTTCGCACAAGTTCGCAATAGCTTTGTTGAACAAAGTGACTTCCATCTGAGCACGATACATCCTCTCCTCCATGTAGCATCGCCCTCCTTGCAGAAGGAATGAAACGCAAGTGAGCTCTTCTTGCTGGAAGAGTTCTTCCATTGCAACCACTCTGAGGCTCACTTGTAGGACAGCTATGAGGTCAAGGGGGTTGACCCATGCAAATAGCACGGAAACCGTGACGAAGAGGGAATCTGGAAGCTGATGTTGATGTCGTAGGATACCATCACAAAAATATGGAAACCCACTAACAATTTCGCGTCCCCATTTCTGGAGCCAAGACTTGAGGGCATTCTCGGTGTGTTCGATCTCAAGAATGTGTTTTGTCGAAGGAGTGGTGAGGGGAGGAGGACACGATGAACTACTATTTAACATGCTGAAGTGGAGTGGTAAGAAAGGGTTAAAGAGAGGTCCATACAATTGTTGAGGCCTTACATACAAGAAGGTTTGGCAGCGGCTATGGGATAGCGGTCTGCAAGCCGATCAACGGCTTTGGTCAGCGGTGGCTGTGCAACTGTAGCGGTCTATAAAAAAATATTTAGAGATGAAAATCATTTGCGCCGACGAACAACGTCATCATACCTCACAATTCCTTGTTTGGAAGTCAGAAAAAACCTGTGCAACGTTCGTAAGCGACTCAATATGTTACAAGAGACTTTGATACTTATAGCGCGTACTATGTTCCTTGGTCTGACTTAGTCATGTGATGGTGGTGGTCTTTGGGATCTTATTCTTAAGATATCACAGGAAAGTTCACAACACAGCAGAGCGCTGTACATTTCCAAACAGACCAAGCGGACAAAATATGGAAGACAATTGTCCTTGGAAGGATTATTTACGAGAAATCCGATAGACATCGTTGTCACTGCGACGCATTCCCCATTAGCTGTTAGTATAAAGATGAACTTATGTAAACTCACAGGATGTTACAAAAGCTCGCCAAGCGGTTCACGAATGCTGGGTGTTCTGGGTCGTCTTTCTGTGCCAATAGGAGAGCAACCGCCTGAAGGAGTTCATCATATATATCACTGACCGGCGGATATACTGATAGGTCGATAGCTGGGAACTCCCCCTGGTCTGACATCATCTTTAAAATATCCGCTAACCATTGGATAATGGCGCTATAACACTAATGCAATAGGATTGCTTAGATGAACGAAAGCTCGTAGAGTAGAACTTACGGAGGCCCCCACAAACGCTAATGTCTCTGCGGGCGGGTGTGGAACGTTCCTGAAGATGTCCGGCGCAAAATCAGCCATTACAATCGGTATGTAGGCCGATACGCTACGCCGGAATACGAGATGAAAAACGAGAGATTTCGCGATCTCCTTCCTGATAAACCATGCAAGGCCATTGTCCTGCATGGTAAAGAAGTAAGATCCTGACAACCAAAGTTAACTCGAAAGACTGACCGCAATTGGCAAACGACCCGAATCTGGACGCAGGAAGTGTTGCAGCAGGGCCACGCATCTCTCAATGAGTAGTGCCCGGGGGCACAGTTCTGCGAGGGCAAAGCCTAGGGATGGTCGAGGATCTGAGATTGCGATTTTTGCTAAACGTTTGATGTCGGAAATCAATGTCGACACCCATTTACTGGCCTATTCAAGGTCAGACAAGTAAATAGAAACGACGGAGAAAACATACCATCGCCAATATAGCTTCTTCTGTCACTTCAAACGCATCATCAGCCGACCTCACTAGAAAAGAGTCAGTATCTACGGAACATAGTAGATCAACGAGTTACTGACCGGGGCACATGGTTGTGCGAGTTTCTCCGACTTCAGCCAGGCTTCGATTGAAGAGATCGGCGATGAAAAGAGCTTTCTGACTTGCACCAGTTGTTGGGGCGAGTAAGAACGGGTTCCCGTACTCCCCGCACGATATAGCGACTCTCATGAGAATCCGCAAATGAACTAAAACGGTTTTCCATTGCGGATACTTGCGCTGGATATCACCCAAGCTATTCGTGTCAGCCTGGACGTTAGTGTCCTTTGGTTGGGTATCATCGTGACTGCATGTGATAGGCGAGAGCCTGGAAGAGTCTGGCACAACCGATGAGGCCACTGAAGAGTCTGGAACAATTGATGAGCCCCTGGAAGAATCTGGGACAACTGAACCTCCGTGATACGACTCCAGCATGTTCGACATTTCTGCGAGAGCATTACTATCAAACTCGAGATAAGCTTCAGGGCGGGGTTGGTGTCCAAATGGAAATAGAGCTTCAACGATAACAGTGTTATGCTCATTGCCCGACAAAGGCTTCAACGTTGTTAAACGAGATAACTTTAAGATCGCAATGTGAGCTTACCCATGTATACACGTGTAGAAGGGTACCATCATTGCTCGGCCTTGACCAGAGGGCATTCAAGTCCACGTTCATGGGCGGGTCATCGGGCGAATAAAGATTCTACAAGACATATCAGTGGGAAGGCGAAGTGCAGTCCAGAGCAACTGAATACCTTGGCGAATATAGGTACCTCCATGCACGGTTCCCATAGGGAATTGTGAGGATTGATCGGCAACACATGAGCTATGACTTTGACATGCGACTTGAGCTATAGAAAAATCAGTATATGACGCCCACAAAATGAACCACCTACAGCCTCGAGGCGGGTGTCTGAACACTGCAGCCCATGATGAGACACTAAAAACTCTGAAGGAATACAAATAATACTTACATAGAGCGCATAGAGGACTGGTTGAGGCCCAACCGCTAGATATCCTGTAAAACAAAAAGGTTTCTGTAAGAGAGTGAGGTCGCCCTGGAAGGACTGAGTTAGTAACATTGAGATTAGAAGCCACAAAAAACGCACTGAAACAGGCTGAAGACTAGACAGATCGTCCGGGAAAAAATAAGAATGGAAAATTGGAGCTGCCATATCGTCCTCAGAATTGGTTCCAAGAGAGAGAAAACGGGCACTTTAAATGCGATTACGCACGATGTAAAATTTTGATTAAAATGCATTGCCATGCAATGGTTATTACATGTAAGCTGTCGCGTCTCGCCTAGAACGATTGACCGCTGTTATAATGCCATACAATCTTAGTATAACATGCAAGGCGGCGATAAGCTGTGCTCGCGCTGCAAGGTTACGCCGGTAGTCTAGTGGGCGCTATCGATCGACTTTGCGCTATCGGTCGACTTTGCGCTATCGGTCGACTTTGCGCTATCGGTCGACTTTATTCAAGTAATCTAGTTCTCGTAATCGAAGGCTACCTCTCTGTCGTACATCTCGTCGAACTGATCTAACAACGATTCATTGCTAGAACTAAACCATTGCTCAACATCCAATCCATCCTGAGTACCGTCATCTGCTTCATCATCTTCACTGTCCTCTTGATCCTCAATTTCATCTATTTGCTCGAAATCTTCAACATCTGGGGTAAAAGATGCATGCGCTGCATTCTCTGGCTGCGTGGGGCGATGGTGAGAGTATACATGACCCACTCCCAGACCAAAGTGGAAGCGCATGAGCATGTCCCGGTCGACAAACCTGAAATAATGAGCTCGGTGTTATGAAGTGGTGCCCTAACTTACCGATTAACATAGTATTGGCACCAATCATCCTTGTCGCCCGCACATGCCGAAACTCCCAAACCATTGGGATGTTTCTTACCATCGGCAAATGATGGTATAATATGACAGCCCCGAAGTACATCCGCTGGATCAAGAAAGTCGAATGAGAAGTCGTCTGCCATGCGTGGAAAGCGGAGACGATCCAGCATCGAAGTTTTCCAGGTGGCGAGATCACCAATAGGAGTGTACCAGCATACCCATAAAAACTCTGTTCGGAGAGGAGTGTAGTCAACCATACTGTTTCCTATGAAGATCACGTTGACGTGGTATATACCAAGTACCTTTCCATAAAGGTATCTGTGACCTTGGTGCCCAACATCGTCGTCAGCGCGAAGAACCATGATATTGCAATGGGGAGTTCTGGGGTTAATAACATCTTGAGATCTGCGAACATCGTACGTCGTATAATTGAACCTAGCGGTGTTATGGTGATACATGCGATCGTCCTTCAAAATAATGGAATTGATGTCGGTCTCTTCTCCAGTACCTGGAAGATCCCTGGATTGGTTGAATCGGTGCAATATATGATCCTTCAGTTTCGGCACAAAATTCTGCAGGGGTATTAGAAGTTACTTGAAAATGTATGATTACACTTACGGTGATTGCAGGATCACCTGCATGATCACGCAAGTACGATCCTATATGTACAGGGAATTTTTGCGTGAGACCGATATGGTGATGGACATGCGGGCTTCTCGCTATCTCTGCGATTTCGAGGTGAGGGCGAGGAACAATTCTGTCCCCGATACGACGAATACGAGTCTGGCGACGTTCTATCTGAGTGAGTTGTTTGACGAACGTGTTGCGATCGGTACGACAGTATCTGGTCTTGGGAGAACGGTGTTCAAGTTCACCCTAGATAAAGTCGGTGAGTCAAATCCGGAGTCGAACATTATGGGACTGACCGGTTCGGTGCTGTACGAATCAGACGTGCCATACCGGCGGATGGTAGATACATAGTCTCCCAAGGCATGAAACTTATACGTTTGAAAATTAAATACCTTGAGTCGCTTCATATTCTTGCCTGATTTTCCTGATTCTGGCTCCACAAGGGCCGCTCGTTGCTTCCCTTTCTGTCCTCCCCGTTGCTTGGCCGCCTGCTTTGCACCACGTCGGGTACGAGCCTCGACCTCCTGAGGAAGTTCATGGGTTTCGTAGGCGGAACAAACGGTGGCCTTGAAATGACGAAACTGATAGCCGACCGCTGTAGTTACTTCATCCATTATTTCTAAAGTTAAGTCCGAGTGCATACGGAGCTTAGCCAACCCGTGCCAATGAGCCATGGTATATAACAACCGAAGAACAGTGCTGTTGTGTGGTTCTGGAAGAAGGCGATCAAATACAGGGATCGAACACTTTGTTTAGATGACGTCAGGCCATGAACTTCATTGATAATCAACTCATACCTGGAGGAGGTCTTCGAAATTCCGGGCCGCCATTCGTTTCATCTCGGAAGAGTTCGCGGAGAACTTTCGGATGGTAGCTGGGCCAAACGTCGGAATTTGCCTATATCTGGTGGAAGTGGTCAAGGTGAGGTGAGCAATGCAAAATGATGGACCTTACCTCTGGTCTAATGTATGTATAAGGCTCTTGCCATGCGCCGATATGATGCGCAACAAGTGCTTAAAAAGCATCTTCCAAACGCCGATTTCAAACTCGTGTAGTAGATCTACTACAAGCGCATGAAAGATATTGAAACCCAAACGACTCAGGCGATCTGAAAATGCATTCTAACAGATTGTTAGTCATTGTCAGTGATAGAAATTCAAGACTTACGGAGGTGGGAACCCACGACTGTGGCTTAAGAATGCGTTCTACAGGTGCGCTACCAACCGCATAGTTCTGCTCATAAATCAGCGAGCGCGCCTCGCTAACCATCTTTCTTCTCCTTTCATCATCGCGTCCCAGAGTGACACGCTGTGTTCTATCCCGGGGCATACCCATATTTTGTATCCGTTCTTTGGGGATCAGGCAACGGGGACACGGACAACCTCCTAGATTTTGAACCGTTGCTACAAGTACTCTATACAAACAAAAATCAGTGTAATTCGACGTGATAGTTTAGTTTACTTACTTCTCAGGATAATCTGCTGAATAAGTGAAGATCTTGGGGTAGAATCTGCGCTGAATACCGTCGCAACAAAGAACAACGATCCCATGCTCGTATGCCTCCAAAAATTCATCATCTAACAATATTTTCCACTGCTCGTGGAAGAACTCTCTGTGACAATGTGTTGCGCACTCGCTATTGATTCCATTAGCGCCTGCAAAATCTTTGAATGAATCAGGAAGCTGCCAATGTATTTAAGCATACTTGATATCAAACTCTGGATGAACACGTACCGTTTCGAAGTAAGCAACGTGATTACTCAAATTGCATGAGGGCTTGCAGCGGCGATACTTCGACTCATTGCCGAAGTACATATACGTAGGCCATAGTTTAGCATTGCCAAAAGAAGCTAGTTGCGTCGCATCGGACCAAAGCATGAGGCCAGCTATAACCCGGGGTAAATCGCATTCAGGTTCCCCGGGTGATTCTTGCAAGTTGCTGTGAGCTTCGTGAAAGGCTGCGGATGTGTACAGGTCCCCGTAGATGGAGACTTCGCCATCCAGATGGGGAGGAGCCCAGCGCAGTTGATATGGCTCGTAATGAAATAGCATATCATCTCGGGCCTTGGCAAGCTTTTCCCGCAAGACAGCGACAAGGGAGCGATGATATAAATGTGCGGCTTCATAAAGCCGTGGGCCTGGTAGTTCGGCGGTACGTGAAAATGGTACCTGGATGGTGATGGCTGTCCTTTTCCATCCCGCATCTTCGTCCTCCCACTCTTCTCCATCTTCCTCGTCGTACTCATTGGTTCCCAGTTGAGAATTGATTTTTTTCCAACAAGTGGAACTTACGTCGGCAGCATTGAAAGTACTGCCGCCCAAGATCTGCAATAGTTTTTCATAGTCCCCTTGAGACTTTTGCAAACCATGATTCCAATACCAATCACCGAGCTCGAAGGACGAGCGATTGGGATAGGGGTGATATTGAGAGTTGTTGGTGGAAGCGGCAGGTGCATGTGATCCTTCAATGGTTTCAGGGCTGCCCGGTATAAACGAGAGGTCTGTTATAGTGACGTACTCCTCTGGATCATGGGATGGTACCCTTGAGGAGAAGTATTGCCGTACTAATCCGAAAACATTTGAGGGGGTCCGAAATACAGCGCTAACTCGTGAAGCAGGTCGCTCTGAAGCAACGAGAGACCCCACAGATTCTGGCAGCCGCTCACGAACTTCCACTGGTACAGTTGGTGGAGGCTGAGGGAGCACGTCCCTGAACTGCATGGGCAACTGACGATTCTGGCGTCTAGGGCGGCGCTTTGCCAAACTCATGCCATCTTCTTTGCCTATCTGCTCTCCTTCACATGCAGATGTCACATCACCTCCTGCAACAACGAGCGATGGGAGGGGTAGAGGAACGACTGGAACTTCAGGATGTTGTGATGCTGTGAAATCCTCGACTTCACCAGAGGTAAAATGGCTGGTGGATGATACATCATTCGATTCAACGAGTCCCGCAGGCCCAATCTCATCTTGTGAGATGCGCGGCTTTTTCCTACGGCTTAGAAGCTCCTTGACAGAGGACATCGCCGATGAAAGACGCTTTCTCGCTTGAGAGCATGAGCGCTGATGTTGGCTAAAATAGTGTTGCTCTGTAAAAGTGCGCTTGCAAACGCAGGTATAACGAGAAACTGACATTAAGAAAAGACCGCAGGATCTGTGAGCGACAAATTATAACGCCCAGCCAATATGATGGCGTAATCGTAACCGAGTACGCTAGACAGATAGCGGTTGCGCTAGCCGAGCCGCTGGAACTGCTGACCGAGTAACTCAAAATGGCGATCGCGCAATAGCTGACCATCGAAAGAACTGCAGGACTGTATAAAGACTCTGTAAGTTCAAGGCACCTAGATCTGCAAGCCGTAAAATGACCGTACCTTCGTCTCCATCCTCTACATGCTCAGAGCTCGAACCAATGGAATTTACAGCTGACCCCAAGGTAGTCAGACAGCTGGTCCGGATTTTGACTTGTCGTCACGGTATATTGCATTATCACGGCCAAACTGAAGAACTGGCGACGTATCAGTGGTAAGTTAATTTTATGGGAAGGTGCCCTACGCTGACATACTCACCGAAAGGCCGACTGATCACCAGGGGCAAAAAATCCACCCATCACAATTCAATGCTTATCGCCGGAAGCGTGCATTTCGCTACCCTTGTTGCCTTTGCGCCAGGGGTGGTAGCTACATCGAGACTGCAATACTTCTGCGAACTAGAGGACCAAATATAGGGCAGTATGTTGCTGAATGTGCGACCAGTACTTGTGGCTACTTGTGCAAGTTGCTGATTTCTATGTGGAATGGCGAATGGCTAATATTTAATACAGTGAATATAGAAAAATTCTTTGGAAGAGCCTGCGTATGGCGCCAGCCATCCAGAAGCATCCATCCACTGTCCACCAAGCTCCCTAGTGCGTATATTTCCATTTCCTTTATTAGCATAGTTCCACCTTTATTTTTATCATGCATTCTCACTCATATATATATTTACATACCTACTCGGTAGCGCTTCGGCTCCGCTTGACCGCGCTTAGGCGCGCTATATAAGCGCCAGCAGTACATACTATTACTTACCTACTTTTCCTACTTTTCACTTAGTTACTACCCACTTACTACTTAGCAGAATATAGTAGAAAGCTATTCCTTTACATTTTGCACTCTTATATCTCTTATCTTGCTTTATATCACTACTTAAGCTTAGTTTCTCATTTCTGCATACGCGCGCGCACTTTCCCGCGCTTTGCGCTAATACGCGCGCGCGTTCCCGCGCCTTTGTACCTTGCGCGCTCCTGCGCTTTCTCGCGCTTCGCTTAAGCGCACACTCCTAGATCCTTGCTGCACTCACTTCCCCTATAGGGTCGGCTATGTATTATCCTCGGAGAGGTGTAGGTCATCTATCAATAGACTGATTGACGTAGCTACAGCGCACATATCAATATCTAATCCTGATTTAGAAATTTGACTCACTATTAGCAATGGGTCATGACTTCCAACCACGAGATATGTCGAGTACAATTCGAAAAGATCTTGTTATGACATCCCAGCGCTTCTAACACTCCAGTCACTCCCTCCGAGACAACTTCTCGGACTCGAACTCCCTCCGCGAGTCCAGGCGTCACACATACCGCCCTATGGCCTCGACTTCTTCAATTCTGGCACCAGACAGCACGACACAGCCCGTTGCTTCGCGTAACATGGCATGGGCACAGGGTGCAGAAAATTTCTGCGCTATTCATTATTCATCTGTCTGAATGGTTTGTGAAGTTGTTGATCACAGAAGCAAAGCACCTTACTATTGTTATCATCGTGGCTGGCATATCATAGTACTTGTTCATCATTTTAAGTTTGCAGAATCAAGTTTCGACTGTCCAATGTTACTGAGGCACGTGCGCAGTAGTACCGCCTTCGCTGGACTCGCAAGTCTATGAAGCGAACGTTTATACGCAAAACACTACATAGTCAACTACATTACAGCTATTGCCTGCATACTCAGTTGCGAAGTTGTTAAGTCGAAAAGCTTCACAGGTTTCAAGATGAGCGGTTTATATATTGACTGACTATATAAATCAAACTCCGCCGGCAGTGGCCGAACGAAAACCTGGCCATCTGTATCTACAGTTGCGGACAAGCAAACACCACCAATTTTGGACACCGCCAAAGATTGATTTTTCCTGTTGCCACAAATAACCGGAAACCCATTTTTAGTGCAGAATCTACTCATAGGGGACCAAAGCAACTGATTTGCACGAGCAGATTTTAAAAAAACTGCCATATGAGGGTTTTGGAGGCCAAAAATTTGGCGTACCCCCAAAAAATCGCTAAATTTACGAAAAATATGCCAATCACTTCCTTTTAATGTCCTATACATGATTCTGTCAAAATATCTACAGAATCTCAAGGCATTTCAGTGCTAAAAATTGGCAAGTATTGATGTAATTGCCTCCAGTATTCCCAAAAATGTTGGAATTATTACTCTTTATGACTTACTTTCGATTACAAAGAGGTGAATTAAGTTTTACACAAATGATTTTGACCAAATTCTGGTGCAGAGGGGTACCTTGGATCACTCTCAGACCCCCAAAAGGGGTACACAACATTGTTCAAATTGCTCAAAAATTTGGTCCACCAAAAATCTCGTGGGAAAAATACGAGAGCAGTGTTTTTAGACGTATTTTCACTGCCTGAGTTTGGATCCGGCTTCAGTTTGGCCTGAAAAAATCACCAACAGGCCCCATAAAATTTGCGGACTTTGCTTGTCCGCAACTGTACACCGTCACTCACTAAAATCCTATCCCACACATCCAAAAGCGGTAGTATAATGTTCACGACCAATTACGGCAGTTTCACGCCATTCATAGTACTGCAGGGTTTCCTCACTGAACTACACAAGACGTGTTTTGGGCGACTGCTGTCACTCTCACCGCGAAATATTCATTGCAACAACCGTATTATTTCCTGCTTGACAATATTAGTGTATGTAAGTACTACATATTCCATCAACCTGGGTCCCCAGGCCTCAGTGTTTAATTCTAAATTCTACTATCTTTCGTACTTGCTATGAAGGCGCTCACACTTTTCCATCGCTCACTGCACATCGGCAGAGACGGTTTGTTCCAAAGGAGCACCGTCGGACCGGAGCTCTCGAGTGCTGGAATAATATCAGCAAGCATTCATGGTCACTGCCACTTGGTTGTCAAGGCTTAACAATAGAGTCACCTTCCCATGAACTCAGATTTTTCCTGTGACACCATCGTCATCGCTTCACTGCAGCACTATAAAATTCATGGTGAGCGCAGGGTACCATTTAATTTATTAATGCTCTTGCCACGCAGACTCCATTCACCGGCGGAATCACTCGGTGGAGAGGCGACACTCATCAAGGAAGAGGTGTTTCAGCTATAAACAAGAGTAATGAAGATGCGGCAATGCGACAATTGTCACAAGATCATCATGTCGCGAACAACTCGTGCAATCGAAGTGGGTGAGCTATCATGTTATCACACAAATCTTTCATCTTGCCTGTTGTAATGTTGACACGTTTATTTGATAATGCGCTTATCAGTGCTGTGCACAAAATTGACAGTACTTAGTAATGTAAATATCACGGAGTTCTCCTTCTACTTCAAGTTACCAATGGTAGGGTACATTATGTCAACGTTGAATGGAACGCGTATCCGATGACAAATTTCATCCCGGGTTCGGCCAGTTTATGTTCTCACTGTGTCCTCGCATACGCGTGACGTCGATGTATTGGCCAGGATATGGTTCTTCACCTAGTAAAACTGTTTCAGAAGTCGAACAAAAGGACTGGCAAGTCACTCACTCCGATCGATCAGGTTGACTTCCAGCTCGTCGTCATCATCGACATCTTCCTCGTCCGACGCCCAGCGGTCTTCTGCGGCTGCCTTGGGATTTGCTGCACGATCAACGGCAAGATCTTTCATCAGGCGATTTATTGAGTCCTCTTTTATATCCTGCAGTGAGTTTTCCCGTGCCACGCGGGCGCGTTCAAGTTCTGGGAGATATTCACTGAAGACGTAGAAAAGCAAGGAGAACAATGAAGATAAAATGTACGTCCTATATGTTTCACGAGACTCCTCCACCGCATCGAAAATTCCTTGATACCGGCACCTGTTGTACTTGAGACGCTGACAGCCTGTAATAGTCAGCTATGCATTCTACAGCATGATGAAATATAATTACCTTGAGGTGTTTGTAGAATTCGTCCAAAACGAGACTCACGCTATTCATCAAACTGTTCATATAAGGTCGGTCCACCTTCAGAGTCCCTCAATCCTAAATGGGACGCAAGAGCGACTTGAAATGCCTAGTGTGTCTGTCTTGTTAAAGACCAGGATGAATGGTAATTTGTCTTGTACATAATACTAATAAAGCGTCATGGATCAGTAAGCCGCTAGACCACGCAGTACTCACCTGCAGGCATACAGCATGTTAGACATGAATGTCACTGGAGCTGTCGTCCGTGGGGTGTCGATGATGTATGCCACCACAGTGGGAAACGAGGAAGCAACGGCATTCGTGATGATAGCACCAGATGCTGACCAAGTAAAACTCTCAATTTGCCCCGGAGTGTCAAGAATTATGTGACTACGTGAGCGCATGTAAGAGCGAATACAAAATAAAAATGACAAGCACATACTCGACTGTCTCAGCCCGTTTCTCGATCAACTCCAGAACCTGGTCAAATTTCGTCGTAAAAAGATTCAAGGCAGTCAAAATGCCACCGTTCGGTCCTAGGTTATACCTTTGATCCATTCAGTTATTCGTGCACTCCCGTTCAAATGGAGACAGCACGCACTGTTTCATGACTTCTTTGTAGTTTACAGTATCCCGGATATCAATGTTGGCCTCAAATGGCACATGAGTAACCGCTGGGTCAAGGTTTAGGATGTATGGCGGTTGTTGAGGATTTTGCGAGTGGAGGTAGGAGGTAATGCGCTGCACGAAGGTGGACTTGCCAGCCCTAGTGATGGAAAAGTCTGGTTCGGTCCGGTTCTCCAGGAAATTAGGAGAACCGTGGACCGGACCATCGGTTTGGTCCGAAAATGGTCCGGTTCTGGTTCAGTGAGGGTTCGAACCGAGAACCGGACCATCCAAACTAATAGAAATTTCTTCAAGAAAAATTATATTGAAACACACCCAACAACAGATGCATCATATAATAAGATAGGGCTCATGCACAAACCACTAATGTGTGACACATTGTGACTGACTGTTACCTGATGTGACCTCTAAGCGGTGGCGACCAAATCTCGGAGTGCTATGTAGTGTAACATCCATACAGTATGAACTATGCCATCAGATACTAGTGTATGCAATGAAAGGTAAAATGTATTGCTGATTACATAGTGAACAATGATCAAAAACAAATAGTCTAAAATGTCAGATTCCGGCTGTCTCGTTCTCTTCTTTCTGTGCTTTGCTGACCCTGGTCCTCTTAGTGTTA